TAATAATTATTATTGTTATAATGTAACAGGGAGGCAATGAATCGTTAAGGAAACAATTGATTTGTGAAGTACCAAGTTAAAGTAATTATAATAATGTGTTCCTTGTAGTTGCTCCATAATTGCTCACACATACGCGGTATCACCTGGCAATTACCGTATCAGTTATGCTGGCGTTCATTCGTTTCCTTCCTTCGTTCTTTCGGGCAGATGCTTCATACTTGTCATATCCCTTCTGCGTTTCGTGCGGTCTTTCAGCTCACACGCTACCAGTTCTGTTAGCACTGCCATTGTCCGTAGATATGCTCTAAAAGTAAGCTGTGGAAAAATTTTTAGTTTAATGAGTTGCCTGGTACAGTGCCGTTAAGGCCCCATCAGAGAGCAACCACACCGCTTACTAGAGCATCTATCCAAAATGAAATGTGAGACGCAGTTTCCTGTCGATTATTTCTGTTTGTTTGTTAATTTTGAAGTATTTTTTTTTAATGGTTTTGTTCTCCATATATCCACACTGTGACGAGATTCATGTTTCTCAAGGATGTGGATTGGGGCAGTTTGGACTATCTTATAATCGATACGCCGCCAGGAACATCAGATGAGCATATCTCCACGGTGCAGTTTCTTCAAGTGTGTTCGCTTGATGGAGCAATTGTTGTGACTACGCCTCAGGAGGTGTCATTGCTGGATGTTCGCAAAGAGGTCAGTGTATCCTTCAGTGATTTCGACTCCGTATTTATTTTTTCCGTGCTTAGTTTCTTGGTTTTTTCAGATTAATTTTTGCCGGAAGACAAATGTCAGAACGCTGGGCGTGATCGAGAACATGTCCGCATTTGTCTGTCCCTGTTGCGCTAATGTTACCCAGCTTTTTCCACGCACAACCGGTGGCGCAAAAGCGATGTGCGATACGTTGGCAGTGCCGTTGCTTGCTTCATTACCGTTTGATTCTCATTTGGCTGAATGTGCTGATGCGGGCGACGATTTTTTCGAGAAATATTCCGACTCTGTGTTGGCCAAAGAATATGAAAAACTTGCCCGGCTAATCTGCAATTTATAGCGCAGTACCGAATCAGACTTCTTTTTTTAACAGGATAGCGCTTACCTGGGGTACTTTGATCAGCTATAATTCACTATCCAGTTTCCAAAATGGGTTGCTAGCAATCCTCCAGTTGCCGTGACAGAAGCACTTCTTTACAATTCTTCACCTATTCCGAAATATCCTTG